CGCAGTTGCTTGCATTACGCTGCGTGCCCAAATCTATATAACCAGCCATTGCCCTTAATGAGCTCTTTCTTCTGGAGTTATTTTGGGAATAAATAATCAGATTGTTTACAAGATTTTGTGTTTTGTTTGAATAAATTTTATAATGTCATTCGTACAAAAGCATATTTTATGAGATTTCACTGATGAAATAGTGCATTTTGTTCCTAATGAACTAAGCTTTCCAGTAGTAGGGAACATTTTGTTGGCCAGTCTTGGCCAAATTCATATCAAGGCTTCAAAAACTGATGTATTGCAAGGAGAATAAAATCCTCTCCCACATTAGTGTGGGGCGGGTTTCCTGGTGATACTTGCCCAGCCTACATATGCAAATTACCCATGTGCCTATTACCATTCGGCGAAGGACTTGATTATGCATGCTGCCCCATGACCCTCCACAATTCACTGCGGTACGTCCCGCCACCATGTTCGTCCTTCTTGTAGAAGCGGAGAAATCCCCGGAGCCAAAGTGGGGAAGGACAGACGGGAGCGGCGGGGCAGGGTTATGTATCACTAGGAGACCTGACCCACACTAATGTGGGGGAGGAGTCTCCTGTGTTTACATACCCCGCACAGCCTACATACGCAGAGTGGCACCAAGAGAGTAGTTTCCAGAGAACATAAGCAGGTGTCGCCCAAGCGAACACTCACCATAAGAAAGAGGAATCTATGAGGAAGAATTCATTGTTCAGTCTGGGACAGCACTGGATGCTGTCCCAACTGCCGAGTGCAAGGGTCACTACGCCATAAGCCGCCTCGCTCCGCAGGACATCCTTCAGATAGCACTTGGTGCAGGTGGACGGGAATCTCTAGCAAGCTGCATAGCAGATCTCTGCCAGGGAAACACTTTTAAAGTATGACCAGGATGCGGAGGCGGCCCGAACATCATGGGCTCTGACGTGAGATTGGGTCATCTCGTCATGTCGTGTCGGCCAGTCCTGGTTTGCGGCCGAGGTAGGTCGGCCGTTGTGATGGATCGAGGGCCAACTTGTCGTGGTAAGTGAGGAACCCTAGGCGTGTCAAGACGTCGAGGGTGAGAGAAGTGCAGGCTCTTGCCTCGTTGGGGGAGCGACCAACGATCAGCCAGTTGTCCAGATATTGAAAAATGAGGGCATCGCGCTGTCATAAGTGGGCTGCGAGAGTCTTGGCAATCCTGATAAAGACCCTTGGTGAGGTTGCAAGGCCGAATGGAAGAGCCTGAAACTGGTAGATTTGGCCACAGTATTCAAGCAGAGTAACTTGCGGTACGGTTCGTGTATCGGGATATGGAGATAAGCGTCCCGTAGATCTATGGAGGTGGCCCATCACGGGACCGGTAGGGGTCAGGGTCTCCATTCAAAAAGTCTTGTTGAGCAGTTTGAAGTTGATTATCGGTCACCATTTTCCCAGTTCTTTCTTGGGTGTTTTCTTGGGAAAAATGATGAGAGGAAGCCGGTGGATAACTGGTTTGGACACACCAGCGTGATGGCGCGTTCACATGTCACATCCCGGGTTACCCCGAGGACATAACCTTCGGCAGTTATTTTGCACTCTCCAGCAAAATAAGACACCAGATACAAGATCTTCTGTTTTATGGAGACTAATTTACAAATTGATTATTTAAAAAAAAAAACTATTTACAGTTTTGTTGATCTCGCACGATATGAAATACACCCAGGACTTTGGGGGTTTTCAACACAGGAGGTGCACAACTTAAATTTAACGTAAACATTCTAAAGGATCCTTTTGTCACTGCAGCGATGAATGGTTTACGTTTTGGCCAGGAACTCTCGGGCTGTCTCACCGCAGAGTAGCCTTCAGGGCACCGGCCTGACTCTCTCGTACAGCGGTCTTGACTTGACCCCGAGTCTCGAGTTGTTTGAGTCTCTGGCCAGCCCTTGGATCAGACTGCTAGTCCAATACCCACAGTAGAACCCTATGTAAATGAAATGCAAACCTTTTCTAAACACCCATCTAGTACAAATGTTCGACCACGTCAAAGGGTATAATTATACAAGTTATTTTTAGTGGTTGCAACCATTATCACAACTATTTACAAAATAATGACCACTCCATATCTTGACACAGCTAATCTTTAAAAGTGATCAATGCAACCATAAATCCAAGTTCTCTAATACATCTTCGTTACTCCAGTAAACACTTATCTTAATGTAAATACATGTAACTGCAAAATTTACTCTATTTTAAAATAAACTTACAGGTTGCGTAGACACCTGGTTCTTGGGAAATCTTGCGTCTCGAGTAGTTTTTTTTTTTCGCCCCAGGTATCGGTCGGAACTTATCTTCACCGATACACTAGCTTCCCATCATTAACGGAACTTATCTTCACTGATAAACTAGCTTCCAATCATTAAGTTCTTCAGCACAACTGGCTGGATTCTCGCAGTTTCAAACTCACAGCAAAATCATCGAGGCTGGCAAGACGTGCCCTCCCTCGGACTCTCCGACGCAAGTGCCCTTTACCCCCAAAAATTTTATAAAACCCAGCCAAATTTCTACCTGGGGCACCCTCAATCCTTTTGTTGTGTGACCCTGGTGACCTCATAAGAAAGGACGTACTCAAGCAAGAGTTGCGCTATCCAATGGGGTTTGTCAATTCTTCCCACGAACCTATCTAATTTAAACAAAAATACTACATGGAAACACTGTCAATGCACACTCAAGTTATCTTATGTTTGGCTCCCATGCATAAATAGACTCAAGAGTTATTTCTCTTTAACAAATTAATCTCACTTCGTGACAACATCTTAATGCTGAAAATCTCTTCCAGAGCCAGGCACTTGGATATGTATGTCGCATGGGGGAGGAGTGGAAGGGAAGATATTCCGGACGGCGGGGGCTTGTGAACTCAAGGGAGTCACCATGGGCAATGGTGGAGAGGACCCAGCTGTCTGCGGTGATTTCCTGCCAGAACCCAATGAACCTGCCGAGACAGCCCCCGACAGGTTCAAGATTTGCGGCCACTGAAGGCGAACAGAAGTCGGGCACAGAGTGAGAACCCACGGCCGGTGAAGCATGGTTGGAGTCTTCTAAGAGCGGTTGTATAGCTCGCCCGGGGTGCAATGGCCGAGTAGCTGCCCAGGGCGGACGACTAAAAGAGCGGCCTGCAGATGGGGGCGGATACACCCCTCGTCACGGTGGTGGTGAAGGCTGCCGACGGGAAGGAGCTGCAGGTTTATGAAGCGAGATCTTCTTGGCAGTCTCCAATACACTTCACCTCTGACTCGAGGATCTTGGTGAACTTCCCGACGAAGAAATCGTCCCCAATGGGCGGGAGATCCACGAGTTTGTTCCTGACATATTTGAAGGGGATATTCATAGCATCCACTGTATTGGCTCTGTGGCTAGAAGTGGCCAGAAGGGACATACAATTGAGTTGCTCGAAGACCGAGTTGAGTCCCTCATCGAGCCCTCGCAGAGCTATGGCTGCAAAGTCTTGGGAGACTGGAGAGTCTTCTTCACAGGCTCGGGCAATATACTCCAATAGGAGGCGGAAGCAGGACGCTATATCTAAGCAACATAGAACTGCTTCAAAGTTGGCCTTGTCCTTGTCCTGGAAGGTATTGCGTTTGCCGGCATCGGGCAAGATCTTGTCTCTGGCGGCGTCAGGAATAATCTGAGGGTTGACAAGAAGCGAGATGCATCCTCTTGAGGAAAGCGGTAATAGGACATGGCTTTGGGAGGAACCGCACACCAGCACCTAGCCTTCACAAGGGTATTCATCATCTCCACACAGGAAAGGTCTGGGGGAATCTCTGAGAAGACGGATTCAGCTGAATCAAGGCGTTAAGGGTGGTGCTTAAACGAATAATGTCCCTGTTCAGTTGGTGTGGGATCTGACGACGGGAGCCCAAGGACGTGGATCATGTCGCACTCAAGAGGGCAGTGGCGGCCCTCAGGCTGAGTCAGACCAGCCACCAAGTCGATGTCATTATCCTCGGAGGAGACAGGCCGAAGACCAGCAGAAGGAAGAGCCAAGCCGTGTTCCGGAGTGGAGCGAGTCACCATGAGGCGGGGCTTGCTCCCGCACCTGGTTCCGCTGAGATGGTTCTAGTTGGAGAATAGAGGTCACCTCAATCTCCGAAAAGGCCCTCTGTGAGGGAGGAGGGACGACCAGGAGGCGATCCGGGTCAGGTGCTGTCACAGCTGGCTGAGGCTTAGAGTCTATCTTGCAAGCGAGAGAGGTGAAGGCCTCCGAGACTGGAGCATCGCCATCCATGGGGGTGGATCAAAATTTTGGGAAATTTGCATATGTAGGCTGGGCAGGGGTATGTGAATGCAGGAGACTTACAAACCTTCCATGGATAATGAAGCAAATTTAAAAGGTTTAGTTACAATGGCAAAAGTAGGTCTAATATCAGGGATTTTTTGTATAATTTGTATTTAATTGCAAGCAAAAAAATTACAAGTATCACTAGGAAATGGTACTGGTGGCCCTGCTGGTCCGGCACTAATCGGGTATTTTTGGAATGTTCTCTATTATTCATCAGACTCGGCTGCGACCATCATTGAACATTTTGAAGTGCCTGAGTAGCAACTCCTGCTGTGTCCTTCCTCTATGGTAAAAAACAGATTTTGCTGACAACTTACATTGTACCAAACCTCCATTTTCTTCATCTCCACTACTTCAGCTCGCTCATCATAGTGACAGTGTGGTTCCTGTAGAAATAAAAAGAAATCCTTTTACTATATCAGACAATAATTAGAAAGTTAGAAATTTATCCAATTAGGAAATCAAGAATTTGTAAACCAGGGTTTTTGGTGTGATAACATACCTTGTACCAAACTTTCATTTCTTCATCTCCACTGTTTTAGCTTGCTTGTCATTGTAGAGTGTGATTCCTATAGAAATACAAAGAATTCCTTTTACTTTATCAGACATTAATTAGAAAGAAATTTACCCAATTGAAAAATCAAGGAAGAATTTGTAAACCAGGGTTTTTGGTGTGATTACTTACCTTGCACCAGACTTTCATTTTCTTCATTAGTCCACTGTTTCAGGTCTCGCCAAAGTAGAGTGTGGTTCCTGAAGAAATGAAGAGAATTCCTTTTACTTTATCAGACATGAATTAAAAAGTAAGAAATTTACCCTCTGGGGAATCAATGAAGTATTTTGTAAAACAAAACAAACAAAACAACAATTTTTGAAGATAACATACCTTGTATCAAACTTTTGTTTCTTCATCAGTCCACTGTTTCAGCTCACTCGTCGTACCAGAGTGTGGTTCCTATAGAAATGAGAAGGATTCCTTTTATTTTATCAGACATTAATTAGAAAGTAAGGAACTTACCCCCTTGGGGAATCAAGGGAAGTAATCATAAAACATTTTCTCAATAGTACAGTTGATGGGGATTGGTCCAAACAAGTAAACGATACATTTTGGGTGCTTCAAGCACATTTCAGTGTTAAAAAGGAAAAACCAGCTAGATATCTAGCCACAGAAATTTTGAAATCCCTACAGCTCAATATTCAAGTTCTCATGACATCTTCAGTGTTAGAATATTCAGCACTTGAACTTCGCAGTTGGACAATTGAACTTAATGGTGGTTTCTTTCTTTGGTACACGCACTGCGTGAATAGAAGTTATGTTGGGGAAAATGTCAAATAAAACCATGTAATTGGGTTTTTTCAGTTTTTAATTTTATCTTCTTCATCCTCACATGGCTGTTATTTTTGAATGGGGGGGCCCTAGGCATCGATAACTTCGGAGGCCAGTTTAATACACCACAAAATATTGAAAGTAAAGCAGTCAATATTGTTTATAACACCTCCACCACAGATTCTGATTGATTTAAATGATTTATTTGATCTCAATATTAAACAATGTTTATCTGAAAAAGATATTGGTCGAACAATTACCAGCTCCTATCCAAACTACCTGTTCATGAAACAGGTCAACTCACAGGTACCTCTCTGTAGTAAAATGTGTGTTATGTGCAACACACATCAGTATGCAAATGTGCAACACACATCAGTATGCATGAACATAATTATAATACCTGTGGTCATGGTTTGGTTGCTATATAGGTGCAGCATTTCAGATTTCCAGGTACATGTGCTGTTCTTTTGGATGTGAAAATTACAAGACAGAATATATATGGCAAATGCCATGTGACTAGCTCTAGGCCACTCAAAATACAGAATCTGTGTTTGAAGAGTTATAAAAAATGATAGAATAGTTGTAACTAAGTAATACTCACTGGTATGGCCATTCCTTGAGGTTGAATGAGCATAGCTTCTGCCAGATGGATACCAGACATGAGCCAATTTCCTTCCAGTGGGTCATTTAGAATCCTTGCAATCTCTTCCTCACTAATATTAGTCTTTCAAGTTCTCCAAGAGAGCTGTTTCTTTCAAACACTGTGGCTTGTGTCATGTCCACAAATTCCTCCCTTCTCAATTCTCAAAGTCAAAGTTAGACTTATAGTTCACTGCGACAGAGGTTAATGTTGATTTCCCTCCTTTGTTGAAGACTATGCCTTTATTTTATCCAGGGAACCTGCACAGTTAAACTGATTCTCATTTGGGCCAAGGTAGCACTAAAAGAAACTTTTCCCAAAAAATGCCTAGTTGGGGCATTTACAACGTTTTTAGAAAAATATTTTTGAAAATTTTGATTCAAGGCCAATTGAGAAATGTGCTGTTGATTTTTGAACACAAAAGAGCACATCGAATGCAGTGAAGTACATCAGCAACGCTTTATTTTTTCAAAGTATTTTACAGCATTTAGACAGATCACATTCCTCATTTTGATTAATTAGGAAATGGGTAATTGGTAATAGGCTAATGGCTAGTGGTTACGTATTGTTTGTTAATGGTTGGGGGTTAGTTGAGGTTCTCATGGTAAATAGGATTGTTATTTACTGTTAATGGTTTGGAATTAGTTGAGGTTCATGAGGTTAGGCCTAACTGTGGTTAACGATCATTTAGGGTTTGGTTGACATTCTTATCGTAAATGGTTACTGGTTAAAGGGGTTATTTACTGCTGATGGTTGGGGGTTGGTTGAGGTTCATATGGTTAATGGATAGTGGTTAACAGAATTGTTTTCATCGCTTTGAGGAAATGATCTGCAAATACTGTTTAATACTATAGCATAATGGATCAATACATGTAGATGCATATGTCAGAAAGAAAGCGCAATTGGCTTGCATTTTAGAAATATACATAACGTTCAATTTGTTTCATGTGGCAGGCTAACCCTGGATAACGGCAAGTTGATTGATACATGATCTTGTCTAACTGCAGGTCTATTATTTTGCTTCGAATTCAAATGGATCATGTCGCATTAGGTTGGAGTATGCGGGCATCTTCACTGCTCCATTCTTCCTGTGAGCTGTAGGCCTATGTGCGAGTGTTGGTTCCAGCTTTCCTTGCCGATTCAAATCAAGGTGTACAGGAATTTTCTGTAAATAACAAAATAACAAAGCTTTTTTAACCATTTTTCTCCAATCTTCGGTAGCTCTACTTATAGGACTCTGGGACAGGACTTTGCACTCCATACCATTTTTATCTTAAAAGTCAACAGCTTCATAAATTTCTGGAGCTTGAGAGGTTTTGTGTACTTCTGGGCAATCATTACTCAAGTATTCAACTGCCAACAATAAAATTTCACATTTTCTTCCAAAGTCCTCCACAAAATGGCTTCTCACCAGTGACGTGGCACATCCCCCCCCACAAATTCCACGTGCCCCAGGTGTCCCCCCCACTGAAAAAAATGAATGAAAGGATATTGAATAAGGCTATTCCACAAAAACTTGCCCCCCAAAAAACCACACCACTGAAAGCTGCTGCCCCCCCCCATTAGATGCTTGTGCCCACTTTGTGCCTCCCCACTAGCAAGATCCTGACTAGGCCACTACTCTCAACCCTTGTGTGTGAAAGGGAGACTTTCTATGGAAGCAAAGGTAGCTTGGGAAGTACGTTGTATATGATCTTGGACCGGTAGTGACTGTTTTTGGCATGGTGACAAACTGACAATGAGCCTCCCCAACTTGCGAATTTCACTGTATCTGCTTTCACGCATAATGTCTGTGAAGGCATAGTTGCCAGGTCCCTAATTTTGCTACCTGTTGTAAAGTCTATCAGCGGTTTTCTGATTGGAAATGGAATAGAATGGCAGGGCATGTACACACTTGTAAATGGTTGAACCAATATCGGATATTTGTGACGTTGTGCATGTGCAATATGTGTCGTATCATGTAAATGGCCACAGTACGTAGATGGGCAGATCATTTTGTGAGGAGAGGCAGGATAAAGGCTCTGAATTTTGCCACGAGCAGTTGGTTACACAGTCAAAAAAACCATTAGACATGGGATTTCAAGAGATACAGTAAAGATGATAAGCGTTATTGCTAATACCACATGGGAGATTTTACACAATGGTAGAAACGATTTGTGGGAAGGAAAAAGAGGCAATATTTGCCCCTTTTCCCAGCCCACAATGCCTTTCTACCATTACTCACATGATTTACCAATAAAGCTTATTGCTTTTTGGGGGAAGAGTTGATTGAGAAAGTGGTTTTGTCAAAAAACAGAGGACATAGTCAGGGCTGCATTCAAAATTCCATAGCATCACTAATCCATAAAAGCCTTATCGCAAATACTGCATGGGTAGTGATTTTGGACAATGGTAAAAAGGCATTGTGGGAACGAAATGGCCTTCCCACAATGCCTTTTTACCATTGTGCAAAATCACTACCCATGCAGTATTTGCGATAAGGCTTATTAACAATTAAGAACCTGCAAGACATGAGAAGTAGGGTCTTGCAGTTCTTCGAGTGCAAAATATGTATAATTTTCTATATTTTGGGCCACAAACTGACTTTTTTCAGTCTAAACAAATCAAGACTATATTGGGGACATGTTAAAAAATGTATCCAATTTCAAATTAAAATGTTAAATCATACTTCCCAAATTACCTTTTGCTTCCTTAAGTCTTCCTTTTACACGAAGGGTTGAAAAGCCATTTTGTGGGGGTTCATTACTTTTAGCACCCTATTCCTATGATAAGGGGAACAAATTCTACTTTTTTGAAATGACTTATCGAAACAAGTTGTTGGTGATGTCCTCTTTCATATCAGAAAGAAACGAGAACAGGGCTTTTGGTTTTTCAGGGAACATATTGAATCGATTGTCCTATTTTTGAATCTTAAACCGACAGAGGGCACTGTATATCACATTACAGAGTTTCTATGGACACGCACTTCCAGCCAATCAGGAACGGGCGCACGGGCGATCGTCGCGCGGTTTGTATCGCTTGCCATGTATAAAAGTCATGTCGCATATCCTCCAGAGACCTCAAAGTACAATCATTAAAAACCCTCCACATTTTTATGCTACTCTGAATAATCCGAACATTCCCCGGAAGTACTTATGTAAAAGCAATACTTGAGAATCAATTTGGCGTGAAGGTGATCTTGTCAAGGTGGAGGTAAGTTTGTAAATCTGTCTTTAAACTTCTGTATTTACACAAAGAGGTAGGCAGGCTGCAACAGCTTTTCTTGACATTTCAATGGGTGATACCATTTACATCAGAGGGTTTCCGTACTCACTGCTAGTGACAGAAATATGAGTGCAAAGTGACAATTTTTGAAATAAAAGAAATGTTAAGCCTATCAAAAATTCATTCAGGCTTTTGAAAAGCCAAATCCAATGAAACTGATTTTTTTTACGTCTAAAACTTGAAATAGGGCCAAGGCCTAGTAGGCCTAGCATTTTTGTGGTCACTATGGTTCTATATTAAGACATTACCTGAAAACAAAGCTTGTTTTTATTGTGCCTGTCAACCTATTTCTGTTTACTTTTCATCATGTCTACCATATGAAAATCGTGTCAAAATGTAGGACTGGATGACAGAAAATCCTCCAGTTTCATATTTTATACTTAGATACTGGGGACATAGACAGTGGAACATTTTTTAAGACACTGTAATTAGAATCTTTGACAATCATTATGAATTTCCAAATTTATTATCTTTTTGCAAGATACTGGTTCTTGAATGTTTATTTTTCGGATCTTAAAAGAGGAAGAATCAAGAGTATATGTCACCTATCCTGGATGGCCACCTAAATTTAACGAGTGGATTTCAAAAGAACGTCTTGGCACACTGACCCCACATATAATCCAGTAAGTATATCCTCAGTGAATGAAAGAAAGAAGCTGTTCATTCATCAAATGCTTTGTGACATTAAAGGGTCTCTTAAAGGAAGCAGAAGAGCATTGCCGAGGGTAAACATACGAA